TTCAACACTACAGCCCCCTTCTACCAGGAGAAATGATGACTCACTCTATATCACCTGCCAGCCAGACCCCTGGAAGATCTGACTAGAGACCGTAACCCTGAGGCTGAGCTCAGCAACGTGGTTTAACAGGTTCTTTCCACACAAAGAGGGAAAAAATTCTTCCAATCTTTTAGCACCAAGTGGTCACTTACAGTCCTGGAGTTGCAGGTCCATGTTAGCCTTTCTCTGCAGTTATCAGCCTGTGGGGCTATGACGGATCTTACCGAAATCCTAGCAATTTTCACTCTACCAGTGTCTTAGTTATCTACTGCTCCCGTAAGAGACATACCACAAATGGGTGGCTTCAACAAACTGAAACATATTTTCTCACAGTTTAAAGACTCCAGACTCCCTTAGAAACCTGTCAAGCCTGGAACTGAACTCACCCTGTGGCTCAGCTTTCGGCCAAATGGTGGAGAGGGCTCTAAGGTGAACAGGAACACCAGAGAGGTCCACACTCCTTAGAACAATCAACCCTACGAGATCAAAAGGACAGCATTCTCTGGGTTAAGGCTCAGAACACAGGAAGAATAGGAAAGAAGAACAAACGGAAGTGGAAACCACAGGGAGGAAGTGGGAAGAGGGCTCTTAGGTTGTGGGGGTTGCAAAGAACGTCACAAAACAAAGTGTGTGTGATTTGAATGGAAAACCAATCTACTCTGTAAACTTACACCCAAATAACAATTAAAAAAAATTTAAAGAAAAACAAAACATTTTTTTTAAATGTATAGTTTTTATTTCAAAGCTTATGTTCAGTGACTTTCAATCCATGATTTCCTTCTTTCTTAAAATCCTAAATTACTGATAACCAAAAAACAAACCCACTGCTGTTAAGTCAATTCTGACTCATAGGTCAGAGTAGACCAGCCCCATAGTGTTTCCAGGAGCTCTGGTGGCACTGTGGTTAAGGCATTGGGCTGCTAGCCAAAAGGTAGGTGGTTCAAACCCACCAGCTGTTCCATGGGAGGAAGATGAGGCAATCTCCTTTTGTAAAGACTTACAGCTCTGGAAACCCAATGGGTCACTATGAGTTGCAATCAACTCAATGGCAATGGGCTTGTTTGTTGTTGTTTTTGCAATAGGGTTTCCAAGGCTGTAAATGTTTGTGGAAGCAACTACTTCATCTTTCTCCCATGGAGTGGCTGGTGGGTTCCAATCACAGACCTTTTGATTAGCAGCCCTGTGCTTTAACCGTAACACCACCAGAGCTCCTTGAATTACTGATAGATATCTTGAAAAAGTGGATGATGCTGTTACCCTGGTCCCTGAAACACCATTACATAATGCTCTTAAATAAAGTTCGTTTCCATCTGGATGAATTAAATTAAATTCTCTGGCATACACCCTTACCTTCGAGCTCCCAGCAGAATCTGTTCTTCCTACGTCTCCAAGACAGGAGCTCTTCCTTGTTAAATATTTAGAACAATTTTGTCCTTAAAATGCTTGTGCTATTAAAATATTCTTCTCCAAAATAAATGCAGTGGAACCAAGTATTAAATGACTTGGTACTGATCTACTGCATAAGAAAATAATAAAAATTACCAGTGTGTATTGTATTTGCTAAAAAAGAAAAGAAAAGAAACAAAAAAGAAAAAGAAAGAGCAGAAAATTGCCATCAAGTCAATTCTAACTCATAGCGACCCTGTAGGACAGAGTAGAACTGCTCCACATGAGCAAAAAGTTTTCAAGGCTGTCAATCTTTACAGACGTAGACTGCCACATCTTTCTCCCACAGAGTGGCTGATGGGTTCGAACCCCTGACCTTCTGATTAGCAGCCCAGCATTTAATCACTTCTGTGCCACAAGGGTTCCTGGGAGTCAGAATTGTGAGCAATAGCTCCAGGAAAAGGCTTTCTCTCTCTGTCCTCTACAGGAGAAAGTTCTTGTCTTTTTTCAGCTTCTATTTTGAGGTTCTTTGGAGATCAAAAATAGAAATAGTAGAAATACTAGTTAGGATTGCGAAAATTACTTTGATTTTGATGCTTTGATTGTTATTATAATATTAACAATATAATATTAAATACATTGCATATTACACATGAAGAAGATTTCACAGCTGCGATTAGACCAACAGAACACATGAAAGGCCTCTCATGTGAGTATAGAGTTTGATCTTCTGTGTATGGGGGACTGGGCTGCACACATGTGTCAAGTATGACCTTAGTCAGTACATGATGTGAAGTGATAGCTCTGAAAATTTTCCAGGAAATGGATTCCTTCCTTGGTCAGGTCGCCCACCCCTGGCCACATGTAAGTCTAGAAGACGCTGTGTTCTTTCCCTTTTGTGTTGTGGTCGTTTGTAAACTCCATCAGCTGGTCCACCTCCTGACAACCTGTGTCTTTGTCTGATTTGCTTGGTTGGGGCCTCCTGTGCAGCAGAAGCAGAGCCATGTCCCCCACATTCTTCAGCCTGGTGTGTGTTGGTAAGTCCTGGAAGAGAATGAGATGGAGGGAATATTGTGGCAGGAAATATTGGTCTCAAAGTCTCCACAGCAGAAGGTTATGCTTCCCTGGGGGATGAGTGGACATTGAGGGCTGGGTTGACCTTCAGCCAAGCACATCTCTGGCTTGGACTAGATGGGGTGGTAGTGGAAGGCCATGGTTTGAATGGAGATGGGTCCGCCATCATGAATTTTTCTTTTCAGGGTTCTGGATGGACCAAAGGATCTGGGAAGAAGTGGGTGAGTTTCTTCTCCAAAATGTAGGGTTCCTTTCAACACCCTATAAGACAATTTTCCCACAAGAGGAGGGCAGACAGCATAAGAGTTTCAGTTAATGGGTTGACAATGGGAAGTCTTGCAAGTGGATCACTTGGGAGCAGGACAGTCAGGGCCCTACAAACTCTAGGTCCCAATTCTTCTCTAGAAAGCTCCCAGCATCTTCTCCTTGGCTCAGTCCATCTCTAGAGGCATCTGGAGGAGACTGTGAAGCTCAGAGCTGAGATTCTAGAGTGAGGGGAAGAACAAGGGCACGGAAAAACAGAGCCGTCAGGCTCTCCACCCTTTCCATGGCAGTAGAGCTGCAGAGTGTAGCTGCCATCCTCCTATCAGAAGAGGAGGGAGAACCAAATGTGATGGACCCTGAAATTGTGGACTATTCTGATACAACTTCAGTTGTTCAATGGTTTTCAGGTGTAGCTGATGTTAGTTCAGTCACATAGATTTTGTTCTCCCATTCTGTGTGCATATTGTGTCAATTTTTTAGAACTAATTTTGAATTATCAACATCTAGTAAGAGTTAATTATTCAGTACCTGCTCAAAAATCCCCACTCAATACTTTTGTTGTAGGAAGGTATGTCATACCTATTTTTTGTTGGGAAGTCTTCATGGCAGTCCTAGACATTCCAGGTTTGGGAAAGAATCTTTATAGACTTGAAAAGAAGGGGAGGTCTCTGGACATGATGAGGGGAGGGGCAACTCCATGTTTTCTTCTCCAAGGCTATCCCTTCTTCTCACCCAGGTGGTCATGTCAGGCCCTCTGTGAATACCTGGCCAAGTCGTGTGGTTCCTCGAGGACAGTATGTGTATCTTCGGTGTCATTCACATGGTCAGTTTGCCACAATCAGGCTGTTCAAGGAAGATGTGCCCCTTGTCTCTGAGTTCCAGAATGTACTGTCCCCAAACAACTCCCTTATGGCCCCTGTGACTCCAGCACACGCTGGGATCTACAGATGTTATGGTTCTTCTCATCACTTTTCTACATGGTCAGAACCCAGTGATGCCCTGGAGATTGGGGTCACAGGTGAGAGCTCCCATCCATGGTGGCTTTTCAGGATTCTGATCCCACTAATCCCAGACTTTTCCAGTAGGAGTGTCCATCAGGGTCCAATCAGAACAATAGAAATCACTCTAGGTATTTTAGGTAAGTAGGAATTGAATACAGATAATTAAGTATAATGACACAAAAGAATGACCTCCCCATGATATCCATGTCCTAATCCCTGGAACCTGGAACCTACGAATATGTGAATATGGCAATAGGGAAATGATGTTCAAGATGGAATTAAGGATGCTAATTAGTTGAGCTTCAACTGGGGAGGTTATCCTGGATTATTCAAGTGGGACCAGTGCAATCACAGGGTCTGTGTAAGTGAAAAAGTGGGGCAGGAAAGTGAGTGTGAGCTTAAAGCACAAAGAGAAAGGCCTGAACTGGTGACCAAGAATGCTATAGCCCATGCCTGAATTAAGCTTGTCTACCACGCACATTTTCTCCACAAGATACATCACTGTCTTCTTGCACTTAGAAACACTAGGGCACACTCTAATACTATAAGTGGGGACAATTTTAAACAATGAGATCACCAATAAAAAGCCCAAACAGTGAAGCACATGGCACACCATTAGACAACAAACAAACAAAAAAAGGACCTTTGTGTATAGTATCAGAGCTGAAAACAGAAGACAGAGTCCCACCTTGTTTGACATTGGCTCAGACGTGCACACCAAGTACACGTCGAATGGCAAATGTTGTACTGCCCTATGCGTATCTGCAAAGGACCATGAAAGCACCCCACATACTGATTTGAGGGTTACACATACATTTTTAGTGTATTCACAAATACAAAACCCACAAACAATGTGGATCAACTGTACATATGGAATGAGAGAGAGAGAGAAAGAGAGAGGAACATAGGCTGAGACAGAGAGAAAGCAGGAAGTGCCCTGGGACTGATCTTCATTATTTCACATCCCATGGAGTTGGGTGAGGAAAGGTCACTGTTTTGAAACTCCCAACCTCTTTGCTCTTAGGTGTGTACAGAAAACGCTCCCTGTTGGGAGAGTGACAGCAAGAGCAAGAATGAGAGTGAGAGTGTGAGTGTGAGAGAGAGACCGAGGCAGAGAGAGAGACGGAGAGGGTGAGACTGAGAGACTGGGGACAGGGAGAGAAAGCTCGCAGTTCCCATGTGAAGGACAGTGTGAGAATGGGACAGCCTCTCTGGTGAAACTGCTTTGTCTTCCAGGTCTATACAGGAAACCTTCTCTCACAGCCCAGCTGGGCCCTGGGGTGATGTCAGGAGGTAATGTGACCTTGTGCTGCCGCTCAGAGAGCTCATTGGACGTGTTCCACCTTGTCAAGGAGGGAGAGGCCCATGACTCCTGGTTCTCTGGAGTGCAGAGCCACAATGGCACATGCCAGGCTGACTTCTCCCTGGGCCCCATGACTCCAGCCCTTGGTGGGGCCTATAGGTGCTATGGATCTTTCCAACACTCTCCCTATGAGTGGTCAGAACCAAGTGACCCACTAGTGGTCTCAGGTAAGGACCCCCATACCTGCCACATGCTTTGGGACTCAGGTGAAATTTTGAAGGCATTTCTGTGGGGAGGCTCAGAGGGTGATGAAGGAAAACCAGGAATGGTGAAAAGAAGGAGGTAGTTAGACAGAGGGACAAAGTGGCTAAGACTGAGAGACCATCAGGAGTCTGGGTGGTCAGGATAAGAGATGAGCCCTGGGCAAGATATGGAGATAGAGAGGAGCCCTCAAAACTCATCCCCCATTTTTGTATGGAGGCCCACATGGGACACACATCTACACAGGCATCACCACAGCCCCGGATGGTGGAGGGGCTGGGCGAGTGTGTGGAGATCAGAAGGAGCACCCCAGCCTTAGGCATTTCCCAGAAACCCTTCTGACTGTTCACCCATAGAGGGTGAGCACAGATAGTTCTCATGCTGGGAGCTAGGCGAGGAGAGGACAGACAGCGTCCCTTGATTGTGGACATCTTCCATCTCTAGGCAATTTTCTTCCTTTATTCAAGCTTGAAGTCTCTGGCAAGAGTCTTCTGTCTGAGGATTCTGAGGAAAGGGATTCCAGGAGTCCTAGGAACCCTGGTTTAGATGGCAAAGTGAGGGGTGGTTTGGCCTCAGGGAGCAGTGGAAAAAGGCTCATTCCTTCACCTCAGAAACCAAGGCTCTAACTTGTGAGGAAAGAAGATGGTTGATCTGTGGCTGTTGTCCTTGTTGTTGTTATGTGCCGTCAAGTTGGCCCTGACTCACAGCGACCCCTCCTTGGGTTTCCGAGGCAGTATCACTACGGAAGTAGATTGCCCAACCTTCGTTTCTAGGAGTGTCTGATGGATTTGAACTGCCAGCCTTCTGGTTAGCAGTCATGTGTCTTAGCCACTACGCCACCAGAGTTAGTGGATCCTTAAGCAGAAAGACTCAAGACTCCTCTGCTTCTCAGGTATGGAACCTTGAGCCAGACAGTTTCCTACAGATTTCCTCAGATTCCCTGTCAACATTTGGGCTGTGGCTACTAGCACAGGTCTTGATGTGTAGGCATTTTTAATTTCTGATCTTCCAGAACTGAATCCTTGGAAGGTAATCAAATTTTGTATCCACTTGTATTTTAAATTTCTGCATCAATCAGACAGTTCCTTGATTTATTATTTTAAAAATCTCTCTTTGTCCCAAGATCTTTTGCTTTTCCAACCATGGCCCCCACTGAGGTGCTCATGATGACAGAGGGACAGTGTGGGGGGCAGGGAGTCTGGCCAGAGAGAATTTGAGCAGGATGGGAAGGAATTTGACTCCACTGTGGGGCTCTGGGAGGGCATGGTGAAGGCCACGTGGAAAGAGCTCCAATCCCTCCCGTAGCCCCCACTCTCCAGGACTACACTGTGGAGAATCTCATCCGGATGGGCGGGGCGGGGCTGACCTTCGTGGCTCTCTTGGTGGTGCTGGCTGAGGCCTGGTGGGGCCTAAGGGTCCACAGTATGGAGACCGAAGAAACTTCCTGAACCCACTGGAGAGACGGAGGGATCTGACAAGATGGACCCTAGACAAGCCCTCAATGGCTGCCGTTGCCAAGCATGGGGCTGAAACACACAGAGGCCAGGTCTTTGCGAAGCTTCTGAGAGGCTCTGCGAGAAGGCGGGCCTTTGAAAAGATTGAGGGACTGCTTCCTGGGAAGCAAGGAATCTTCTCAGAAGACACCAGGGAGGGGGCCTGTACCATGTGTTCCGTTCCCGGACAAAGCGTGACACTGAGCCAGCTCTTGATGGGATCAGGGACGGGTCACCCCAACCTCCTCCTCCTTATGCCACTCTTGCTCCTCAGGTTTGTGTTTTCTCCTCCTCCTCCTCCTCCTCCTTCACAGTGACCTTTTTCCTCCTCTTCCTCTTCTCTTTCTCCTCGTTCTCAGCTTTCTTTTAACTTCACATTCATTTTCACAGTTTTTCTTAGAGTCTTTTTTTTTTTAAATGTGTATTTTCTATAGACATGGATTTTAAGAGCAAACCCCCCCAAATTTACAACTTTCTGGCCATAATAAGTGCAGTTATTGACACAGAGAAAACTAAAGAGTTGAACTCCTGAACTTTGAAGTGAGTGTAAAATCCTCTGTTATCCTGTTGCATTAAGTGTTTGGAATTCATACGTGTTTTAAGGTAAACGTTTCATGTTGTAACAAATTCCTCTCTGACAGTCTATCAATGCTGCTCTTGTGGATGGAATGGGGAATGGCTTGTTTCTCTCTCTGATCTTTATAATCTTAGTTGGCCTATTACACCATAATTAAAATGGTCACTTTGCCTACTTTGTAGACTGTAGACGTATTTTTATTTCTGAGCCCTTTCTTCCTCTTTATGCCTCAATGATGGTTTTTAGACTTAAATGGAAGTTCAAAATGGAGTTGAAGAGCTTTAAGAACAGGTTCAATTTTGACTCGTGACAGGATTTCAGATAAAATCCAATAATCAGAAATGCCATATTTTGGTCTTTGCTAATACTGTCCATGTCCAAAAGTCTAGATAGCTGTTAGCTCTTCTGCAGAAAAGAAACGATGTAGTTTACTGGGCTGATAGAGTCCAGTGAGACCCCCAAGACTGTGGGCCCTAGTTAGCCTTCAGGCTGGAATTGAACTCACTCCTGTGGCTTCCAGCCACAGTAGTCAGGCATATAGCGGGGCCATTTACGTCAGGTAGATACACTCCTTAGAACGGTCAATCCTGGGAGAACAGAAGGGCAGTGTTTGCCTAGGGAGATGGCTCAGGGGGGCAGGAATGAACAGAAGAGAGGGATGCAGGGAAGAGGAGGTGGGAGGAGAGCTGTTCCATTGTGGGGAATTGCAGTCAATGTCATGAAACAAAATGTGTATGGACTGCTGTATGGAAAATGAATTTACTCTGTAAATTTTCACCCAAATCACAATAAAAATTTAAAAGAAAAAAATATATAGAGACACCTAACTGAAGAGAAAAGAATGAAGAGGTGAAGTCAGGGCGTTTTTAGGGTCTTCTATGCCATGATGAGGGTTTTATTCTAAATAAGATGGAAAAGCATTGGAGGTTCAGGACTGCCGATTGATGAGAACTGGAATGGATTCAGAAGGCGACTCTGACTGTGGTGTGGGGAATAAACCAGTCGGGGGACAAGTCTAAATGATGGGAGACCAGCTAGGAAGAAATCTTAGCAGTCTACACGTGGGCTGCTGATGGCTTGGCCAGAGCTGGTAGAGGGGGAGGTTGTAAGAAGTGGTGGGGTTAGGAAATGATTTGAAGGTAGAACAAACAGGACACCGTGCTAGCTAAGGCTGTGTGTTAACTGGGCTGGGCCATAATTCTCATTGGTTTCTCAGTTATGATGTAGCCATTCTCCTTGATGAGGTCGGATATGATATCATCTACCTCTGTGATGAGATCTGCTGTCAGCAGCCAATCAGTGGAAAGAGGTGTGGCCTGCTTCCGGTATGAATATAGATGTGAGTACAGAATTTGACCACCTGGGAATGAGAGACTGGTTGCTCACATGTTTCAAGTCCAGCCTCAGTCAGTGCAGGTACCTTGTCTTATTGCCCTCTGCTTTATGGCGTCTCACAGATACTGAATTTTTTACAAACTGAAGGTTTGTGGTAACCCTGCTTCAAGCAACTCTAGCAATGCCATTTTTCCAACACCACGTGCTCACCTCACGTCTCTGTGTCTCGTTTTGTTAATTCTCACAATATTTCATACTTTCTCATAACAATATTGCACACCTCATAGGCTACCGTATAGTGAAAACATAACTTTGCTATGTACCAAGAAACCAAAAATTTCATGTGAGTTGCCTTACAGTGATTCTCACTCTACTGCAGTGGTCTGGACCTGAAGCAACAATGACTCTGAGGTATGTGTGTGTCTGATGTGAAGCAAAAACTCTGAAGATTCTCCAGGAAGTTGATTCCTTCCTTGGGCAGGCTATTACCTACAGCCATACGCAAGATTAGAAGAGACTGTATTCTGTGCATTTCTGTGTGTGGTCAATTTGCAAACTGCGTGACCTGGGCCTCTCTCCGAGACATCCTGCATGGTTTCCTGTTGCACTGGGTTGGTGTCTGTAAGTAGTTGAAGCAGGGCCATGTCGCCCAAATTCTTCATCCTGGTGTGTCTTGGTAAGTCCTGAAGGGAAGGAAAAGGAG